TGCCCGACTCCAGAGTGTTGACGATCTCTTCGTGAGTGTTCTGGAAGTACACCCGAGAGTACCATTGGCTGACGGCCTGGTTGACGGACGCCACCATTCCCACCACCGATTTGCCTCTTTGGGTCGGGTCGTGGTAGACGTCAATGCCTACAATCATGCAGGACTTGAACGGTATGGGCAGAGCCCACGGCTGGCCACCGATTTTGCATGACATCTGTATCGCAATCTTCTGGCAAACGGAGCGCATCTTCGCCTCAGTCAATGTGTAGGATCTGACGACTTGACTGGCGATCCCGAGCTCGCAATAGCACAGCCTTTTGATGGCGTTATAGCGGTCTTCGCGCTGCGACGAGCCGGGAGTCATACAGACTATTATCTGGCACTGGGAGGCGTTCGACCCTTTGATGGCATTCACATAACCGGTGGGCGTCTCATCTCTGGCCACGTGTTTGTCGGGATCGGCGAACGTGAAGCCCATCATTCGGGTGACGGCTTTCAAGCACTTTATGAATTCGTCGACTTTTGCCGAGTCTTTCTGCGTGAAGATAATCATCCATTTGTTGACATTAATCGGATGGAAGAGCGCACAGTTGGTTGCGTCTCGAGACCAGTCGGCTTTGGCACTGACGGGCACCTCTTTGCCGCCCCCGAGGACTATGCGGTCGGCGGTCATCGTTCTACCGTACGTTTCGTACGGTTTTGGCGACAAATCCAGTCCCCAGTCTGTTAGGTGTCGTCGGGCGGCCGGAGTGTTGAGCACGTTGTCTATGAAGACCTGGAGCTTCGCCTGACGGACAGTCGGCTTAATTCTCGTGTGCGAAGCGATATCCCTCATGATTCGGGTATCGGAGCGGATGTCGTCTGTGAGTCCAGTCATGAAACACAGCTCTGGAATCAAACAAATCATTTGCGACTCCTTTGGGGACAAAACACACAACAATTAGTGTCCATTGAAATGAGCGCTACATTAAAGGCGGCATTCATTGAGTGTGCACTCAAACAGCGGTGACTATCATCACAACCGTCACTGACTACACACTAAACGCCTACCGAAACAATAATCTAATGAACTAACGGTCTCTCCTCTGCGCGGTTTGGGTCGGTTCACGAGCAGCGGCTGTTTGTGATCTTTGATGTCCAACTGCCAGGACTTCTTGAAGTACTCCACGTATGTGACGGGCGTTCCGTTCCAGTCAAATGTCGACAATGGGTTGGAATTGAAGTCAATGTCATCCACGCGATACGGTTTGTTGTTATACCGCGTGAGGACTATACTGCCCACCAGTCTCTTCTGGGCGTTCTCTTTGAACCGTTGCTTCCCGTCGGGCAACCGGAACAAGTCCTGTAACACATCCCGAGCGGTGGACGTGCGGAGCAGTCGATGGGAGGCGTCGCACACCAGGAGGAGGCCGTCGTCGAGCTCAGACACCGCCTGCGCCCATCCCGGCCACACCTCCAGCTTGTGCTGCGGGATATCAATCTTAGCGGTCGGGTCGAAGTAGTGGCGCTGGATCTGCACCAGCTTTAGCTCGCGATTGATTTTGCGGATAATCGTGTTATAGAAGGGCATCAGCTCGTGATAGGGCGGCACCTTCACGAACGTCAGTTCCACGCGAATCGGCGACCCGTCCACCGGAGTGGTCGTGTCGATCACCATATTATCCAAGTGTCGGTTCAGGTATATATTCATACCCGTGAACTGGTATAC